ATGAATCGGAGGGAGGGATCAGTCAGATCCCACATGTAGGAGACTCGCCTCGGCCTAATTTCGTCTGCAGCTCGTGCATCTGGTTTATTTTTTGATTGTCCTAACATATAACCAAGTAAATCTAAATTTAATTTTTTACAAGCTTCGGCTGGCCGAATCTTTCTTTCTTGTTGAAATAAATTAAATAAAAAAAAATATATTTAAAAATAAAATTAAGACGCTAGCACTTACCTGAGCGCCATAATAAATAAAATAAAGAAAAAAACGCAAAAACGCGCACAAACACCTTAAAGGGTCAATTCAATTTACTTGAATCAAGCTCGAGCGCTCCAGAGCGGGTGTTGGAGATAAAGAGAGCGGGCCGCAGGATCTTCAGTGTGGCCCTCGAATTGAGGGCCGCGGTCAAGGCCATTATTCAGCACAGGGTGATGCTCGACATTCCGTCGCAGCCCTTTCTTCTACCCTTTAACTCCTAAAAAACCTACTTATGTCTTCTGTAAGGAAGAAGGAGACCCGCCTCGGCCAAACATCGGCCGCACCGGTCGTCATCTGGCCCGGGATCACCCGGGCAACAGGGATCTCACCGCGCTTCTCATGCATGTGCCTTTTCGGCTTTTGAGTACCCAGAATTTTGGTACAGGCACGGGTGGCTTTCCACAACGGCGATAATGGCCAGATCCTCACTGTTTTAAACAGCGGGTATACAAATTTATTTATTGTATTTATTATGTATTATTATACTCCGTTAGAAATTCCATATCCTCGCGGTAGCGAAACTCCCTCCCTGTCCGCAAGCAGGATACGTATTCCTTTCGGAGCATTGCCCACCTTTTTCGGCAGAAACTTTCTGTGGATAAAAACTATGGCTGTCTAAATCGAAATATATACCGAAATAATATACCTACAAAATATACCTACCGGGTTTTAACCCTGATAGCCCGGACCACAGGGATCACCCGAGCAACAGGGATGACCAAGACCACGGGGATCTCGCCCTGCTCCCCTGGGCCACCACCATCGGTGACGACTTCCTCCACTTGGTCCGAGCTGGCATTATTCAGTGTTCTTAAATAATTCTGCCTCCTTCCGCAGGATTTGTACTACCACGGAAGTGGGCAATGGTCAAGGCCATTACTGTGTCTTCCGTAGCAGCCCTTTCCTCTTCCCTCCTACTCCTGAAAAACATTCGCATATTTTCAATGAATCGGAGGGAGCGATCGGTCAGATCCCACATGAAGGAGACCCGCCTCGGCGCAGTCAAATCTGGGCTGCTCGAAGTCACAGTGAAGATTCATAGGATTGACCATTCGGGCAATCTCCCTGGCCTCGTCGTAGCTAACAGCATGAGCTAGAATAGTCAAGCTCTTTAAAGTAAGGGTCTCTCAGCAAATTTTCAGAATCGCGGTACACGAAGAGCTTATAGACATGATCACCTAGAATTTAAGCAGGAATTAATTTGGCCCCTTGTAGATGGTATGCAACTCACTGTTTTCAAATACCCCGATACCCCTAATTTTCGGAAGCTGTTGCATGTGTGTGTGCAGGGGTACAGCTGAAATTCAAAGTAGCGTACTCCAGGTTGACCAGACGTTTCATCGTTTTGCGTAGAATCCCTTGCACGTTTGTGGCACATTCCGGGTAATATTTAAAATACATATGTTTCACTAGATCAACAACAGTTCGCATCAGGAGCAACTCGTCCGGCGATCCGGTAACCTCCACTGTCTTATAAAAACTCTTGCCGTAATCGATTAAGACATTTCGGAAGCGGCTGCAAGCATGGGCGAAGTGTAAGTCATCCTTTAGGGGCAAATATCCCAATACGGAAACCAGGCAGTCATCGTTCAGATCCAACAGCGATAAACTCATGTCTCAATTAACTTTAACAGTTTGTACGGTAAATTTTTTAACGGTAAACTAATCATTATTTAGGTGGCAGACCGTATTATTGTAGTAGCTAAATACTTCTTCTGACAGCTGTTGAAAATTATATTGAATCTTTAAAAATAACCCGGCAGGGTAATCCATAAACTTTTGATATGGGCAATTCTCTGCTGTTGCACGCGACGTTCGTACGCTTTGCAGGTGAAAAATACTATCTTCCAGTACTTCTTTTCCTTTGCCACTAGGCTCAAATTAAAGGTCTTGATTAGCACTAAAATATGTGCTAGGGGTGACATTGGGACATTTTTCATTTTTAAGATATATAAAAAAAACCAAGACTTTTGCACGCGACACGAATAGAAGTTACTTTTTTGACTTCCTGCCTAACTTTCGATTGTAACGAAACGTGAAGGAATATTTTAATGCAGTTAATTTCATAGTGTTCCTTGGTCTTTCTTCTTTAAAATGTATTTGGTTTGAATTCAAAATATTGAGTGGTTAATTTTTTATTAGTATCGAAGTGACTGTCACACGCTACATGTCGCACGCGACAGTTTTTTCCGTCATTTTCTTAGGTGGTTTTTCTGCAACCTTAACGTCAAAAAAACCGTTTAAGAGCCACTTTAAAAAATACTAAAAAAATACCAAAAAATTACTTTTTTGTCCATATAACCGGTATTACCCTGTAAAATTATCCAAGGATACTCATATTACTTAGCTTAGTTGAGGATCCATCTAACTAGAATCAAATATCAGTGCAAAATCATGTAGAAATATGTTTTTTTCAAGTTTTACGCTTTTTGGCTTGGTTGACATCCCCAGAGAATTGCCCATATGCTGAATTGTTGAAAATTCAACAAAAAATTTCAGCAATTAAGGGAACGACCCAAAATGGTTCCTGTTGAATTTTCAAACAGCTGTTATTTGTTGAAAAGTTTCACGGAACTTAAAGCATGTAAAATTTGATTTATTATTGCTAGTGACTGTCTTAAGGTGTTACCAAGGTAAAAAGAACCACAAATATGCTTTCTACTGTGATTTTAAAATAAATAATGCGTACTGGTGATACTGGTGACAACTCTGGCTTTTCAGTAATTCAACAAAATTTTCAGCAGCCTCGAGGCTGTTGAATTGCTGAAATTTCTGAAAGTTGACTTTGTATGGAACAGCTGATTAACAGCTGACCAAAATTCAACAATTCAGCAATTCATCAGTTTAGGGAATCCCCCTAGAAATTTTAGCAATTCAACAGCCTCGGAGCTGTTGAAAATTTTGTTGAATTGCTGAAAAGCCAGAGTTGTCACCTTTTTTTTAAAAGTCGTGGCAACTCTGTAACATTTTAGTATCACCAGTACGCATAATTTATTTTAAAATCAACTTAGAAAGCATATTTGTGGTTCTTTTTACCTTGGTAACACTTTTAGACAGTAACTAGCAATAAAAAATCAAATTTTACATGCTTTAAGTTCCGTAAAACTTTTCAACAAATATCAGCTGTTTGAAAATTCAACAGGAACCATTTTGGGTCGTTCCCTTAATTGCTGAAATTGTTTGTTGAATTTTCAACAATTCAGCAATTCAACAGTTTAGGGAATCCCCCTAGAGTTTGTTCTCTCATATGAAAGTACATTCGAATTCAGAACTGTTTATTACATAGCTCAAAAGCCTACTTAAATTATTATAGTACACAGGATACAACATATAAACCCTTCAGTTCCCTTCCCCAAGACAAATTCATTAGGCCAAACGAACGGACGCTGCCGACGTCAGCATAGAAATCGGCTCAGCGGACGAAATCTATCGTGCACGAAAGGGAAGCCGATATTCATATATTGCTCTCTCTTTTTCTGTCTTATAATCTGCCTGCACTCGGCGGTAGCAAAAACAAATTTCGGCCGGTCCGTCATTTTCTTTTGCGCCTTACCGTTATGTTCAGCTAGCGACCAAAATTTGGCTGGACTAATTTTCGTGACGCAGCGACATGTGTATGCCCTTACATTTTAGGAGCATTATTATATTTCGAAATAAACAAATTGATTTCCTGTTATAAACTTACATTGTTTATTCATAAAATTTGTATTTACTTAAACAATACATTTACTTAATTAAATTTTTTATTTAACTTGATTTTATAAGTTCATTTTATAGTTTAGTTAAAAAAAATGGTCCATTAATATTTATTTAAATATTATAACAGTATCACTTTTAAGAAATTGCGCTTTTACTGAACAAATACAAATTATTTAGTCGGATATATACCACTTTAGAAAGAGTATAGGAGCAAACGAAATCGGTTAAAGGGGTAAGAAGAAGACTTGGTGCATCGCATTATTTTCGAAGGTTTTCTGAGAGAAGGAGGATTTGCGTGATTGGTTAAATATTTTGTAAATTAAAGTCAGGTACAGTGGCGGACAAAAGTCTACATACGACCCCCTTTTTGGGAGTTTTCCCACTGCTTTAGCTTTTACAGAAAAAGTAATGATGCCATCTTGTTTTAAATGTTATTATTACTTTTTACATATTACTTATTACCTATTAAAAATCAAGATTTCATTCTTATACAAAAAAAACTTGCAAAGTTATAACTTCTAATTAGTACTGTGGTACTATTACATGCTCATATTATAGGCTTATATTATATGTTTTTTTTTCTTGCTCCATTTTACTTGTTTATTTTACTTGCTTATTTTACTTGCTCATTTTACTTGCTCATTTTACTTGCTCATTTTGTTAAATGCTCATTCGATAGTGACATCACTAAAGTATCGACGGCAGCACACACATTTAACATCTCTAACAAAATTTCGAAGATGTAAACAAACCATTTAAAACGCTTAGATGTGCATTAAAAATCGCAAATAAAACCGTGAGAATACAAATTTGTGCTTCAGTTTAATTAACTGATATTCTATTTTTGATTTTCAGAGTGATGGAGGTGTCAATGTGCCTGCAGGATGCACAAAATGCTTTTGAGATAAAGCAAACGGACGAGACAGGACACCAAATGAAGAAACCACTGGACAAGAATTTACTCGAAGGAATTGAGGACACTGATGGGGCTTCTCAACAGGTTGTGGTCAGAATTAAGGAAGAAGTTGTCGAAGAACTGTTGGAGAAGGAACCGTTGGAATGCCCAGTAAAAAACGAGCCGATCGAAGAAGACGTATCCGAGGATGAAAACACTCGTACTTTGGAGTGCGAGGTTGATCCAAGCGATATGAAGATCGAGCTGGAGGAGGATGAGGATGGTTTGGAGGGAGATAGAGATTCTGACGATGATGTAGATGACGTGCGACCTTTCAAATGTACCCAATGTGAGAAGACATATGACCGCAATATCTATCTTCAGCGACACCTGCTAACGCACTCAGAGACTGGGGAATTGCCGTTTAAGTGTTCCCTCTGCTCGAAGGCCTTTCCATACAGCTCAAGCCTGCAGAGACATTTTCAAAAGCACAAGGAAAAACGACCGCTCAATTGCAGCCACTGCTCCAAGTCTTTTATAACGCCTGAAAGCTTTCAGGCCCATATGCGAATCCACACGGGAGAACGACCGTTCCAGTGTACCCAATGTGAGAAGACTTTCACACACGACACCTATCTCCAGCGACACTTGAAATCGCACACGGAAGATACAACTTTTAAGTGTTCCTACTGTCCGAAGACCTTTCAGTACATATCACCTTTCGAGAAACATATTCTAATACACACCGGCGAACGACCGTTCCAGTGCTCGCATTGCTCCAAGGCTTTTACCCAGAAATCAGCGCTTGGGCGGCACTTGCAAATCCACACGGGCGAAAGGCCGTTTAAGTGTTCTCACTGCTCAAAGACCTTTGCCCGGAATTCCATTCTTGAGCTGCACTTGCGAACGCACACAGGCGAACGGCCGTACAACTGCATCCAATGTACAAAGAGTTTCTCAAGTCTTTCCAGCCTCAATGTACACCTGCGAACGCACACTGGAGAAAAACCGTACCAGTGTTCTATCTGCCCCAAGAGTTATTCGCAGCTCGGCAAGCTTAAAGCTCACTTGCTAACCCACAAGGTTTAGCATCAATAAAATCGACTATTTTATGCGTAAGGAAAATTGTATTAGTGTTTTTTACTTTCTACCATCTGTATTAGTTTCAGAATGGTAATTTTGTAGCGGTTTCTGTGACATTTCTGACGAAATTTTTAACTTGTAATTTTGTTTTATTTCTGACTTTCTGTATTAGTTTTTAAATGGTAATTTTGTAACGGTTTCTGTGACATTTCTTTCGAAATTTTTAACTTACAGTTTTGTTTTATTTCTGACTTTCTGTATAAGTTTTTAAATGGTAATTTTGTAACGGTTTCTGTGACACCGAAATGTAAATTTAAGTTCAAACACATTTCTGTGGAATAAATTAAAAAAGTTTAAAGGCAATCGTCCAGCAAAACCTAGTTTTCACTTGCATATTCAGCTTAAAAAGATTAAAAAAAATTAAAAATGGAAAAAATTATAATCATAAAAACATTTACACTTACTTGAAATAGCTGTTCTTAAATTTTCTAAGTGTATTCAAACAAATCCATATTTAGTGGGATTCGAAAGACATGACCTGGTCACACCGACGATTGTCATCTATCCGATTTCGCATCTATCGAAGTTACGCCGGCACGTGTGGTCAAGTAAAAAGTTCACTCTTAAACTTTTCACAAGCGCTCCAGTTTGCATTTAATAACTAAAATGGTGAGTTAAGACTGTGTTGCTCAGCAGTGCATAGAACAGAGATTTGGAAATCGGAGCGGTGTCTACGATTTTCGAGAAGATTCCACGAAGATTCCACTTCTCTTTTGCCGGGATGTTGTGTAATCAATGAGAGAAGCACGAAACATGGGTTAATTGTTGGGGGCTCCCTTAATGCTTCGCAGGCCGCCGCTATCAAGAAGATCATCCCCATGCTGGACCGCATCCTCATCCAGAGGGCCGAGGCGCTGACCAAGACGAAAGGCGGCATCGTTCTGCCGGAGAAGTCGGTGGGCAAAGTTCTCGAGGGCACCGTTCTGGCCGTGGGCCCCGGTACTCGTAATGCCGTAAGTATTTCGCCATTATCTCTGCGCAGAGAGTAATCATCCAACTAAATCCGCAGACAACTGGCAGTCACATTCCCATTGGCGTGAAGGAGGGCGATCGCGTCCTGCTGCCCGAGTTCGGGGGCACCAAGGTCAACCTGGAGGGTGACCAGAAGGAGCTGTTCCTCTTCCGCGAATCCGACATCCTGGCCAAGCTGGAGTAGAGCTCGCCGCCGGCAACTGTCTCACAATTCTATGAATTCTATGTTTTCTATTAGTACGTAACACACACCCACAAGCCCGAAACCAGAACTACAATAAACGCTGATGCAATATTTTTGTTTGCATTGCGCATGGACCGCCATTCAATAAATTTCGAGTTACTTGTTAAAATGTATTAAAAGGTTACATTTGATGTGATTCTCAAGGTGCATTATCTTGCAAAAGTGGTGGGTACATATCGTTTTTAGTCAAAGGTGCTAAAAAAAAATATACAAAAGAGGTAGCCCAAATTTGAGGCCGATGTCACAAGAAAATTCTTCTAAATAAAAGTATTATTACATTTTATAAATTAATAAATTCCATTTAGAAATATTTAAATGTTGAATTGAGTGAAAAACACTCCTTAAATAAATTGCAAACCATTGAAACTTAATAAAATAGCTTTGCTATATTAGACCATATTATGGGTTTTGAATTTCGGTACTATAAAAGTCAAATATCGAGTTATATAATTTTGGCAAACAATTTTTAGTTAAAAGGAAATCTGTCTCTTCCCACAAAGTAATTTTACAATATTCTAGTATTATCCCAAAAAAGATTCCTTATCATTCGTTAAAATATACAAAAATCTATATTTTCGTTCCCTACTTAAGCCTAAATTAATCCAACTTCATGTTGCTCAGGCCGTAAACCTGGTTAAAGGCCGACCTCCGCTTGATATCGGGCATTCCTTCGACGGCGGCCCGTTCCCGAGAGATCTTGACCAGAGCTTCGAAGGAACGGGGTTCCCAAATGGCCAGATCAGACAAGACTTTCCTGCAAAGAATTACAGTTGATTAATCGATAAAGGCATCTTTCAGTGCTACCCACTTGTTGAGCAGGATATCAGAGCGCGCCAGGCCGTCCTTGAAGGTTTCCAAACCCACACCATATTGCTGGCAACCCGCCTCCACGCGGGTGCTCCACAGTTGCGCCATGTCCAGTTTCTTCAGCTTTCGTCCTTTGGTGGCATAGGCCAGTGCCCTATGGACACTTCTTATGGCGAAGGAGTAGACATTGCGCGTGCGGCTCCTGTAGTGCTGCGGGAAGTAAACATTATGCATTTCTTTATTGTTATTTTGAGATTTGAAAGATAGAGAAAGAACGTACCGCTGCCAGCTTAAAGATGCGCCTCTTCCGCCAGAATTCATCGGGACCTCGGGCTCGCACCAAAAGGGGCAGATTCAGGAAGACCATGGTTGGTTATTAGCAGCAAGTTATTAATATTCTATGGGTTTTTAATTGATCTCCAAAATTGTACTTCTTATTTTACATAACCTGCACGGCGCCGTTAACAGCCGTTCATCAGACTATCGATGAAATATCGATGAAATGTCGTTGAATGAAAAACCATTTATTTTAAAAAAATTTGTGATCTAAATTATTATTTTTTTAATTGTTTCTTAATTATTAGGCATAATTTATATAAACGTAAAGCTACCACATATCGATTGCTTTTTTGAAATGCTAACTATCGTTTTTAGCTACAGTGGGTACTGGTTAATAAAGAATTGTTTAATTTGACTATGATTTTTTTTAAATCATTTTATTATTCAGAAACAATTTTAAAATATTGTTTTGACGAATTTGTTGTACAATTGGTTTTAAATTTTGCAAATGATTTTAGCTTTACTGAATCCCTTATAGCAGTAGGTCACTGTTCTGCCTATCGTTATCGGAACCTTTGCCGGTTTATTTACATTTTGACGCACTGAACCGAGCAAATGTTTTGAAAATCCGCATTTTACGTGTTTTGGCGCACACTAGCAGCACAAATAGAGTCCAGATCCCTCGATCATGTGTGCAAATAGCCCCCGCGTCCCCGCCCCCGGGACTGGAGGCTCCCCACGCTGCTCCAGCCTCTGTTCCGAGGGCCGCCTGAGTTTGTATTGCTTTGCGATCACCGCTGCATTGATCCTGATCCCCTCGGTGCCCCAGATCCACTTTGGACTGGTGCCCCAGGTGTGGGGCGCCGTCCTCTGGGGTCCGGTTCTGTACTACGCCCTGATCAACATGATTATACGGTTCGTGTTGCGAAACCACGACTACCAGGTGAGTCACCCGTTGGAGTATCTAAACCTTATCGGTGGTTTCTACCCATTTCTACCCATTTCTACACAGGTGGCCATCAGGGCCTCCTTCCTGGGCTTCGCCATGGCCGTCAGCGTGCTGGTCATCTGCTTTGCCCCCAGCGAATGGCAGCAATTCGGCGTCTACGGCTGCTTCATGTCCTTCTTCCACTACTCGGAGTTCCTGGTCATCGCCTGTGCAAATCCACGCACCCTGAGTCTCGACTCCTTCATGCTGAACCACTCGGTGCACTATGGCCTGGCCGCTGCAGCCAGCTGGATCGAGTTCAGCCTGGAGGTCTACTTCCTGCCGGAGTTCAAGAGATACGGACACATTTGGCTGGTGGGCGTGGTGCTGTGTTCGTTGGGCGAGGTGGTTCGCAAGGCGGCCATCATCACAGCAGGACGGAGCTTCACACATTTGGTTAGTTGGCTAGGGAAATGGTCAGGGTTATTGACTTGTGTTTAAAAAATTGTATCCTACATATGTTGGAAACATAAATAACACACACATGTCATTGTGTTATTTACACGACGTTTTATTAACACGACATGTTTTTTTACACAGCGTGTTTTTAACACAATGAGTTTTTGACATTAAAAAATTTAAAACGGTTTTACGGGAGTATAATAATTCATATATGCTTTGAAATGGTTGAATTTCATTTCATTTTTTCATTTTCCCTTCGACTCGTTAATGTCAGTAAAATGTAATTTTCAATTGTGTTAAAAAACACGTCGTGTTAATAACACATTGAGTAAAAAACACAAGTGAGCTGTCTGTGTTAACAATTATTTTTCACATTTTAACACTTTTGTATTTGACACACATGTCAAAAATTATGCTCACACTGTAACAATTTCCGAACCCTGAAAATGGTAGACCTTACTACATTATTAGTAATTTTCTAATTTCCTCATCCCGCCACAGGTCCAGGATGAGAAGCACTCGGACCACAAGCTAATAACCTGTGGGATCTACGCCCTCTGCCGGCACCCCTCTTATGTCGGCTGGTTCTGGTGGTCCATCGGCACCCAGATCGTGCTCCTCAATCCCATCTGCATATGCATCTACACACTGGTCAGCTGGCTGTTCTTCCACGACCGCGTCTACGTCGAAGAGTACTCCCTGCTCAACTTCTTCCAGTCGGACTATGTGCGCTATCAAAAGCGGGTGCCAACGGGCCTGCCCTTCATCCGGGGCTATCTGATCGACTAGTGCCACGGATCTCGGGTTCAATGTCACAAGTCGGCAGGGCAAACAACAAGTTCTATTTTAGATTTAGGTAAACAACGTACACAACAGTTGTCTTTTGTATAGCCAAAAAAAAAAGAAGGAATATTTTCAAAAGCACATTGTATTTTTTAACGTAAGTTTTTCTAATATTTAGCACTTTGTTTTGTATTCATAAACTAGTCAAAGCATGTTGCTGATAATCTAATCTGTTGTTGGGTCAATTGGCTGTGAATTTATGGGGCTGATCCGTCGAATTGTAACAGCTGTGTGGTTTCATCCCGCCCTTATTAACGATGAGTGGTCTGATACTCAGCATTTCTATCTATATGACGTATCAGTTTGTTGCTAATAATCTTATCTGCTGATGAGCCATAGTTATCAAAAATGTTGGACATTTTAGGACCTGTTAACCATTTGTAGTATTAGATTTGCAGTAGCTATAAAACTGCTTAGATTATTTTATCTCTTAGTTGTCTAATAAAATGGTGTAAATGGTGTAAATTTATGGGACTTGTAATCCAGAATAATGAATAAGCAAGTGAAAGAAAGAAAGATTAATCACATATATAATTTAATCTTTCTTGAGCCATTTAAATTCCAATCTGATAAAAGACCCGATATATAAAGATGGGGAAATATAACACCGCTTGGGTTATTAACACCTCTTATCTGAAATACAAAACAAAGATTTCAAGTTGTGCAAACAGTTGACTTTTGTGTTTCGCTCGCGTGTGTCACTTTTGTTTTATTATCAATTTAAATTCGAATATTGCTCTATCTAGAAGACACAAGCCTCACTCTCGCTATTTGTTCATGTCATTCCACATGTGTATGCTTTTGTGTGTGTCTGAGTGTGTGGTTTATATGTACAAACAATTATCAGTGTTAACAAAATGTCTTAGTCACTCTCGTTTACTTAATTAACAATTGCAAATCTTGCTGCGCTTTGCCTGCATCTCTGCCTCCATCTTATCTGTGTCTTCGTGTGTGTGTATAAGGTTTCGGTAGCTTCCGTTTCCGGCGGTCCTACTCGACGAACTCCGGTTCGCCGGTGTACGTGCATCCGGGATTCTTGATGATGTGCCCGGCGGCGTAGTTGCCGCACCGAATGCAGACGTCCAGCGGCTTGCCCTGCACAAACTGCGACAGGAAACCCCCAACGAATGCATCCCCAGCGCCATTGGTATCGACAATCTCATGCACCGCCAATTTCGTGACCGGGAACTCCTGCACCGAGTCCTGCTGGATGAGCAGGACGGGATCGCAGCCCTGCGTGAGGATGGCAATGCGCGGCCGCGCCGGATTCAGCTTGTCCAGCGCCACCAGACGCTTGCCAATCTCGCGCAGATCCCCGCTGGGCCAACTCTGGGCCTCGGCGAAGGCCTGGGCCTCCGACTCGTTGCCGAAGATGATGTCCACGTAGGGCAGGACGGCCAGCAGCGGTGCCATGTAGAATTGCGATATGAATGGTGCGCTGAGGTTCATTAGGAACGGTCGCTGATTGGCGTGGGCGGTGGCCGCCACCTGCATAATGCTCGGCGGGTTAACGGTCAAGAAGAAGCCCTGCGAAAGTGGAACAGATTAATCATTTGAATTTCAGTTTTAATAGGATTAATGGGGTTAAAATTAGTAACGAAACAAATAAGAACTTGTTATCTTAATAACTTCCTATTTATAATTACATATTAGTTTTTTACAATCATAATTCAAGGTAAATCCAATCCGTTGTTAGGGTAATAATTAGACCAAAATGTTTTCTCCTATCTGGGTAAATATTATTTACTGTTTTAGTTATTTTCGATCTAAGATCTTCATATTAGAGCCCTGCGTGAATTATTCAATTTTTGTTTTATCCTGGTATGCCATGAAATTTTCTATTTGTTTAATTCAATTCTATGTCAAATAAATTGAATGTTTTTTTCATTCATTTCGAATTGAATGAATGAGTGAATAAATTCAATGAATTTTTGGAATTTGCCAGATTTTGTTGTGCCTTTTTTAGAGAACAAAAAGTGGAACATTTTTAACAAATCAATGTTAACTGGATAGTAAATAAAATTCAGGCAGATTTAACCACAAAATTCATGCCATTCATTCATTCAATTCTATTAAACCCAAAATTCGAATTAATTCATTCATATAAAACAAAAAATTCAAAATAGTTCATTGAATCCATTCATGCAGGGCTCTACTTCATATCAATCGAGAAACTTTCACTGATATTAGACCCTAATCTCCTTGGTATGCAATCGCTTTATAACTTACTTCCCGCTGGGTCATTTAGTTATTACTTCCGGCTTCGATTCTACGGTTTATCTGCACTTACCGAAATGTAGTAGTACAGGGCGTTCTCCACCAGAGCCTTGTTGCTGGGCTCCTCCAGGTGATCGATGGTGAAGTTGTTGGCCGCCGCCAGATTGGCGCAGAGCGACCGGTGGGTGCCGGTGATCAGGACGGCACAGGTACCCGTGGGCACGTCCTTCTTCACCTGGTAATGGACGTCCAGTCCGGCGGATTGGGCCTTCTCCTTCAAGATATTGGCGTACCTATCCTCGCCGACGCAGCCGAAGAATACAGCCACCCTGGGCTGGCGCAGGATCCACTGGGCGATCCTCAGCGAGTTCTGGACGGATCCACCGGCCAGGAATTCCGCCTGGTACCCCTCGACCAGCTCCCCGTAAATGGGCATGTGTCGGTCCTCGGCCAGGATGGCATCGTCCTCGTTCATCGAGTACTTTTGCAGGAAGTCCAGGGGGACGACGGCGGAGATGTCCAGCAGCGGATTGCCGCAACCCACCAGGATTCCTTCTCTGCGGGAAATAGAAAATTATATTAGTCTTATCTCCCTTATTTCGATGGCTAGTATAGGTTTAGAAGTGCCCGAACCTAACGTTGCTGCTGATACGATCGCACATGTTGCTCGCCTGAGGGTCTGATGCTAATGCGCCCAATTGCGAATTCCATTCAACATCGAGTACAGCAAGAGCTTTCAGCGCAATCAGCTGGCGATGA